GGAAAACAATTCTTCACCCACAGGTAGAAACAGTGTTGGAATGGGAGAGATGAATATCCCTGGGAAAGGGGTTCCATAATTTTGGCACCACAACTAAGAAGGCCATTTCTCAGGTTGTCATTCATCTAGTCTCAGAAGGTGGACCTCAGACCATAGTGGTTAAGTAGGTTCATACAAAAAAAAGGTGTCCTTAAGGTATGCTGGTCCCAAATAATAAGGGGCTTTAAAGGTCAACACCAGCACCTTGAATTGGGCCCAGGAGCCAGTGGAAAAGGACCAAGACTGGAATAATATAATCTCTGTGACCCAGTCTTGCCAAAATCCTGGCTGCAGCATTCCGTACTAATTGACGTTTCTGAACATTTTTCAAGGGCAGCCCCACACAGAGCACATTACAGCAGTCCAATATAGGTGTTAGCAGGGCATGTTCCACGATAGCCAGATCTTTTCTGCCAAGGACAATCCACAGCTGGTTTTTGAGAGATTTAAGACTGGTTCCTACAATACACCAGCAGCTTACTATAGCAAGTAACTTGCTGTAACATTAGAGCCATAAAGTCCCATGAGCATTGCTATTTTTTTTTAATTCAGGTGGGTAGCATGTTCGTCTAAAGCAGCTGGAAAAAGTTTGAATCCAGTGGCATCTTTAAGACCAAAACAGTTTTATTCAACTATAAGCTTTCATGTGCATGCGGACTTCTTCAGATAGCAGAAGAAGTGTACATGCACAGGAAAGCTTATACCTTGAATAAAACTTTGTTGGTCTTAAAGGTGCCACTGGACTCAAACTTTTTTCTCCTTTTTTATAGAAGTGAAGCTCTGACCTTATGCATTTCTAATGCCACTGTGCTCATGCTTTGAATAAGTAGTATTTTTTCCCATTTCAGCTAGTCTGTCACTGATACTGACTTGAAAAATGTCAACCCCATGCATTATATCTCGTGCATTTCTGCTATTGAAGCTAAGCAGAGCTCTCCCTTTAAGCTGGGAGCAATCTGTAAGCCACTCGGAGCTCTTCAGAGGAAAAGGAGAATTTGTGCAGTAAATGAATAGGTTTTAGTAGCACTTTCTGAGAATCTATAGTGGTCCTCAAAAGAATTTCATCTTTATGGGTAGGTCATAAAGTTCAATTGTGCTAAGTGATGTGAACTTTTTTTTCTTTTTTTTCTCTTTCCTTTTTTGGTTCTTGTAGGGTACTGATGGTACAGGAGGAGACAAAGGTGAAGATGGTGACCCAGGCCAACCTGTAAGTATACTTGGGAAAACTTATTTAATTTTTCTTAATAGAAAAAAAAATGAAAGAATAAGCAGTGTAGATAATTAGTACTAAATGGCCTTCCCAACTAATTTGATAACCAGAAAGTTACATATGTTTCTTCCAAATTAAATTTGTTTCATACACCACAGCACTATCCTAATATCAGCCAAGACAGAGCCTGGTGTTTTGATTTGTGTGCTCTGTGAACATGCAGAAATATGATGATGGGAGTGCAGTCCTAAGCAGAATTATATCCTTCTAAGCACATTAACATCAATGGATTTAGACAGGTATAACTGCTTAGGACTGCATTGTCAGATGTATGTGTGGACAGATTATAGGAAGGTATTTAGAAAGAACATGGGGCAGGACCCGCGATACTTGCGGGGGGGAGGGAGCTCCACACCTATGAGGAAGAGGAGGAAGCAGCAGCCGGTTCCCCCCATCTCCTCCACCCCCCCTCCACCCCCCCGCTCGATCTCCCCCTCTTGCCTCTCTCCACGCGGGCCTCCCTGCTCTCTTCCCTCCCCCTCCGCAGCGAAAAGTGACAGAGCGTCCCCTGCGCATGCGCAGGGGACGCTCTGTCACTTTTGGGGGATTTAAGTATCCCCCCGATATTTTTTTACAGGTTTCAGATTTTTGTGCACACCTGGGGACTTCCCCAAGTGTGCACAAACATCTCCCTCCCCCCCAGGTGCCCCCGATGTGCGGAAATAAGTATCCGCACGCAGGGGGCGACTTCGGTATTAGATATATAGATTTGACGACTGGCCATTCCCAGTGGAATTTGTGGCTTTTTTTTCCTTTGAACAGTAGATAGCCATGCAATATCACAAACTTTTGAAAATACCATCAGTTTTCTAAATGATTTGCCAAGTAGCATATGGGATGTGCTTTTCAAGAAACACAAGCTCAAGGCTCCCTTGGGCATGTGGAGTAGTTGGAACCAAATATAATGAATCTGTAATTGCAGAGGGAGATTTCTGCATATGTTGATATTAAGGGCACTAAGAGAAGGCAGGAGACATAAACAAAGGTGCAGCGATGTCTCTGTAGTACATTTTACACAAGAAGAAGAATTGGAACTGTGTTGATTGCTGAGGAGGCCAGTTGATCAAACAGCATGGATATATGTCATAAATAGCCTGAAGCATGATGGAAAAGAACAGCTGTCCTTCGCCAATTATTTCTTATAATTAAGTTACATACCATTTCTTAGTGTATTCACCACAGAGGATGCCAGATTAAACATGCTTGAAATTGTCTTCATTGTGATGCTCATATTTGCTTTTTAATAACACTCACCAGAAACTATGACATATTAATACCGATACCTTATTGCAGGGTCCTCCAGGTCCCTCAGGTGAAGCAGGCCCTCCTGGACCTCCCGGAAAGAGAGTAAGTCCTCTACAGATTCCCCCCCCCCAGTCATTTGACCTTAATAATTGTTCTGTTTTATGTTTTTGTTTTTACATGTGCTAAATATTTTTAACTGTTAACATCTGCCACCACATTGTTGAGATAATTTAGATTGATTCAAATGTTCATAAACGTATAAGCACCCCACCAAAAAAAATTAAATACAACCAGAGTTAAGAATTTCCATAATCAGTAATTAATAATTATACAATGGTTATGTATCATTTTGCTTCAGAAACTTGCAGTCTTTCTCCACCACAGGCTAATCACAATACACCAGCTGTGTCTTGTGCCCCACTCTGAGTTTTTGCTGCTTCTCTGGAACAAGGGATATGGCAAGCACTTGACCAGCCAAAATGCACAGCTGGTGCATTTGCATTCAACGTCACATGATTTATAGGCCTGAACTATCATTTGAAAGAATACAACTACTCTTGTGATAGTCATTTTTATGATCTCCCTAATAGATTGTCCCTGATAACATAAGATACTTTGTGCCACAACTCATGATCACTTTTAATGTAACATTTTGCAACTTCAGATCCATGAAAAGCTGTATGTGTGGCATCTTTGTGCCTTTGTTCAATCACAGGTACTCCTTTCATAGTGGTCCTAATGAAATGATTGAATTGATTTTTTTCCAGGCCTCTACTTTTACTTCAGGATAATGTAGAGATCTATGGAAACATCTGATGGCATGCTTTCTTGTGTAACTAGAGCATCCAAATTATAGACAGTAAGAAATTATCAGGAACTCAGTGTTGGAGAATTTCAGAAGATGTATAGTTTCTTTTTCATCTCTGTGTGTGTGCACCTGGAAGTCCTGGTGACCTCTGGTGACTGACTGTGTGTGCGCCTGGAAGTCATGGCAACCTCTGGTGACTTACCCCTACTGGGGACCTGGAGGATATTCAGAGAGGGTGGCTGAATAAAGCCTGCCCCCCCTCCCAACTGCTGGTATTCCAATGAGGTCTCAAATCCAAGTACTTGCCAGAGTCGACACTGCTTAGCTTCTGAGATCTGACAAGATTGGGCTTGCCTGGACTATCCAGGTCCGGGAAGAAGATGTGTCGTTTCCATTGATTTTTACAGAAATCATACATTAGTTGTGGCATCCATTTCCTTAGAAAAGTCCCTTGATACCACTGACCTCCATAAATAGAAGTACACTTAACCTACATTTTCCAGCTTAACTGAGTTATGGATTACCGCATTAGGGAAAATGAGCAATTAGTGTATGTTAGAGCACCATCAACATTGCTATAAAGCATGTTGAGTGCATTATATAATGAGTACATGGCAATTTTATATTTTAAGAAACTGGTGCAAATGAATTATTCAGCTCATTTTTTCTAGGATTGCTACTTCTCTAAAAGGAAAAAAGGGATTTTACTCATTAGGGCATGCTAATTCATTTAAATTAGAGCTGCAGGCTTTGATCACTTTAATTGGTATATTAATCAACTAAAGCTTTAGCTGATTAATTAGTAGGGAATAAATTTTAATCTGCGAGCTGTGAGTTAAGGACCCCCTTAATTCTTAAGACTATTTTGGTACTGGTATGTTCCTGCAATAGAAGATGAAAAATAAAATATCTGGAAGGGTCTTTCTTCTGATGCTGAAGAGTAGCTTTTGTTTATTACCTTATATGTTATTTTACACTTCATTCAGTATCTCAAAAAGGCACCTATATAGATTTTTTGCAATACACAAAAATATTTAAAATTTAATTGATTAATTCATCAGCTAAAAGGCACGTGATTAATCAACTAAAATCATTTTCTTGGTTGCCAGCCAAATAAAAATACAATTTTACAGATTTGTTCCATCTTAGAGAAACAAGTAAGCCTGAGAATACTTGCCAATTACACAGTAATTGCAATAAAACCTTTTAAAAATAATTAGAATATTTTCAGTCTGTGTCTGTTGCTCTACTGGCCTCATTCCTGAAAATAGCCCCACTTGGCCATGTTGACTGACTCACAATCAAAATACTCTAAACAGCTACCCGGTATCACTGTCATGTTGACTTCAAGCAAAGCCTGGAATGACCTGCAGTTCCAGATATATCTGCATCCTCAGATTCTAACAAATCCTAGAAGTCAAGTATGTTTCTTCCAATACGCAGAGGTAGAAGCATTGGTTTTAATATTTATTAGAAGAGGAAATTATTACTCAACAGTCGACTATCATAGTACCTTATTTCGCTTCATGTAGCTAGTTCATTGCTGGGATGGTGCCAAAACAGGCTTTGCAGATTTGTTCACAGGCTGTTTTGGGATGGTCTGCTAACAGAAACAAGAATGGGATCTGCATACAAAGGAAGCCTTGCATTAGTTGAGTGGTGAGGAGCCACTTAGGTTGGGGTTCCAGCCCTTAGTTTGCGGTTGCAGCACTTTCCAACAGGGTCCTACATGTAAGTGCTGTGGAAGTCAGGAAATAAAGCAGAAATATGTCAAATTTACATTAAGTCACTGGTACATTTATGGTAGTTAGCTTAACTAATTAAATCTGAAGAACAGATAAGTACATGACAATTAGACTGAGGCATTTACAGGGCAAAAAGAAATCTGTAAGCTTTTGAGATCGACTGCAAATTAATGTATGCATTTGGAGGAAGGTAGGAAAACATCCTCATGTGAGATAGTTGATATTGATGTGAGTCACATATCAGTTAACAGCAGACTCATCGCAAGTTGATTTTATCATGCCAGTTTTACCTGAACGTGCTCCCTCCCCCCCCTCCCCGTGAATGGGGTGATGGCTGACACTACTTCATGAAAATAATAGAAAAGTTGTCCAGTACAGTAAAGGAAAACTGCACACAACATGAGGATCCCTTTTCGCAAGAAATATTTTTTTCCATGAAATTAATGAGAAAATTAATCCTGTTATTTTATGTTGCCAAAATGTTGTGTCTAAATCAGTCCTTAGAAGAAAAAGTTTACACAAGAATTAGTGCTTGGCTCATCAGTTGAACAATTGTTGGCTTCGCTGGAATAACAGATTCGAGCTCCTGCAGGACAGTGGCCTAGATCATGACGGCACAATTTATGAAGAGAGCCAAGTGAGCATCTCCCATTCCATTAATAATTGTTCCATGACTCAGCTGTGCCCCATGTTTTAACTTACCTGCATTCTGGGGTGTAGCTTAGAGAATTTCAATCAATCAATCAATCAATCAAGAGAATTGCTACAATTAATCCCAGAAGTGATTGCATCACAGCACAAAAAGAAATTGCGAGCCGCCTGACCTGGATAGCCCAGGCAAGCCTGTTCTCATCAGATCTCAGAAGCTAGGCGGGGTCAACTCTGGCAAGTACTTGGATAGGAGACCTCTTTGGAGTACCAGAGGTGGGAGGCAGGTGCAGGCTTTATTCAGCCACCTCTCTGAGTATCCTCCAGGCCCCCAGTAGGGGTCAGTCACCAGAGGTCACCATGATTTCCAGGTGCGTACACACTCACGTGCACACACGCATATATGAAAAATGCAAGAAAAGAAAAAAAAGTGACATGATTGTGCCATTACATCAAGACACTTCTTTGCATGGTTTGAATCGGTGTGTATCTGCACTCATGCACATTGTAATATATAAGGGAGAAAGCTGTGTATACTGAAGAATGTGGTAAACTAAATCTAACCAAATCCAGAAACAATAAAAATGGAACAAAGAAAAATTGCTCATATTTCATTGCTGTTCCGTAAACAAGATCAAATAATTCAGAACCCTAAAATCCAGGGGAAAATTAGGTAGAAAGAATACGAGGATCCCCGTTTCTTACGACTAAGCCAAACAGCCATATATTGGGGGCAGCCAGGTTTTTGACACCCACTCCCCCTAAGTTTTTGCTCCAGGCAAGCAGCAAATACAGGAAGTATACCAAGCCCTTTTGACAGTCACACAAGGTAGGTGGGTTTCTTTTGGCTTGGAGGCTTCTGAGTTGTACAGACGTGGCATAAATAGGTTTTAAATCACCTTCCAACCTTGCAGATGCATTCAGTTATGTATAGGTAACACATTCATTCTGAACAAACCTGGTTGGATTCAGACATTATGTTCAATTAATGCTGGAGCCTTCCTCCAATGGAATGAACCTTCATCCAGTACAATGTTCTTTCCTCAGGTAGAAGAAGCATGTTCCATTGGTGGAAATGTCCTTGCACTGGTCCATTATTAGTGAACAAAACCTACTCAACCCAGTGTTTATTAAATGAAACAGGTCCTCGTAAAATGCTTAAGATTTTGTTTTAAGAGAGAATAATATTTAGCACCCCTTATGAATATACAGTGGAGGTGAAGAATAGATTTAAGGGACTAGATTTGGTAGACAGAGTGCCTGAAGAACTATAGATGAAGGTTCTTGACATTGTACAGGAGGCAGCAATCAGGACCATCCCAAAGAAAAAGAAATGCAAGAAAGCAAAGTGGCTATCTGATGAGGCTTTACAAATAACAGAGGAAAGAAGGAAAGTGAAAGGCAAATGTGAAAAGGAAAGATTTACCCAACTGAATGTGGATTTCCAGAGAACAGCAAGGAAAGATTAGGAGGCCTTCCTGAATGAACTATGCAAAGTAATAGAGGAAAACAATAGAATGGGAAGGACTAGAGATCTTTTCAAGAAAATTGGAGAAATCAAGGGAACATTTCGTGCAAAGCCGGACATGATAAAGGACAAAAATAGTAGGGAACTAACAGAAACAGAAGAGATTAGGAAGAGGTGGCAAGAATACACAGAAGAACTATACAAGAAGGATCTAAATGTCCTTGACAACCATGACGGTGTGATCATTGCCCTCGAACCAGACATCCTGAAGTGTGAAGTCAAATGGCCCTTAGAAAGCATTACTAACAACAAAGCCAGCGGAGGTGATGGTATCCCAGCTGAGCTATTCAAAGTCTTCAAAGATGATGCTGTTAATGTGCTGCACTCTATATGCCAGCAAATTTGGAAAATGCAACAGTGGCCACAGGATTGG